TAAGTGAAAATTCAGTAACAGACTGAATACCTTGCTGCTTATTTTATGTCAGTGATCACTGTATTATTTCCACAGTACCATAATCAGCTCAAATTTYGCTACTAAAAAATGATGGTGATTCTATTTTATTTGTTAAATATCATTGGTATTCTTATTACAAATAACCATCGTTGATATCCCGCAATTTATTCTATTCTGGTTGTAATAAAAATGATATTCAAAATATTTAATTAATACAATTTTTATTTCCCTACCTAGACATTTTTTATTTTGATAATGATTGAACAAAAAAATGTTATTTAATGAAATTATGAAGTTTTAAGTTTTCTAATTGTGAACTATTATAATAGCACCAGCAACGTTTTTTTAATTTTTTTTTATTAATACATTTCTGATATTTCTGAACTATCAATTTTAAAATAATAATGGATTTTTATCCATATTCGTGGGATGAAAATACTCATATTCTGATTTCTATAATAATATATTATACTCTTAAAAATTAATATTATATTAATTATGACTTACCATCAGTGTTGGGGCTTAAGGAAAACGAAAGGCCACCTTCTTTTTTCCAAGTGATACTGGGAGTAGGAAATCCGGAGGCAGCACATTGCATCGAAACATTACCTCCTTCCCTCACCGCTATATCGGTGCTGGTTGGGTAGTCYAATATATCCGGAGGTACTGTAAATTAAAATAAATAATTATTACGATGGATTTGTATTTCCCCCCTATTTTCAAACTGTTGAGTGAACACATATAATGTTATCTTAAAATACGGGAAAACTTGAAATCATGTTATATATATTTAGCTACCTATATAGAATACAATAACTTATTTGTGTTTATTGTTTAATTATCAAACAAAAAGCTTGCTACGAGTTCATTATGGATAATTCGACTCACAAGATATCRTTTCCGATAATAGTTGATTTATATTTTAGTTTTTAATACAATATTGTTAATGAAAATAAACTTTTTGTCATTCCTTGAAATGTTTAGTGATTAATTTATTTAATACGCAAATAGCAGCTTAGGTATATTTGCTTAGGTTTATTAGGTATTTTTTTTACTAATAAATGTAATCAAAATATATCAAATTAWAATAATGATAGTTAAGGATATTTCTGTTTCGATATTTATCATGACTTTATTTCCATTAGAAATTACAAACTATAATGGATAATAGAAAAAAAATTAATATCCTTTTCACTTCTCTAAAATAAAAACAAATATATGTAACTTTACTGTAGGGATTCACTAATGTAAACTTATTGGACTCTCGTGGATAATTTTAAAGCCCCGACTTTTGTACAAATTTCTATATTCACTTTATCTTCACTTTAGTATATAATTTTTCAAAGATTAAATTATACAAAAAAGGAAGAAATTAAAAACAAACATTTTATTACAATAATGATGAGTTTTGGAGGTATTTTTTATATTACAAATGTGTAACAACTATTATAAAATGTGTTTAACATCATGTGGATGTCCGGACACTAATTATCTGAATTAGTTGATGAACAAGTTGAAATTTCTATCAATAATTATGTAAATCCTTTGATTAGAAAAATATAGCAAGAGGAAAAAAAATTAAAGAAAAAATCAAAATTAAATGCCAAAGATTATAGAACACAAAATCAAATGAAATAAAAAGATGAAAAATCGATGAACAAATCCAAATCTCGGCCATAAAGAAGATACTATTCTTAGCAGACTACACATTGATTACACCAGAATCATCTACGGTTTCCAAATTGGCTAGAGAGGATGCTCCAATTGGCCATACACGTGGAACTGAACTTTRCGTTTAATATTTTATAGCTGACTGTTTAAATTAGTATGATCAAGATCGGATCGAACAGAAGATTCCACATAACCTGGACACTGCACTAAGATCCAATCATGAACATAACTTAAACATAATTAATTTTCTTAAACAATCAAAATTGTATAATCTCTGTAGTTAATTAATTATGTTTGTAAATCTTAATTTGTTAAATTTGTAACATTACTATATAATGGAATTTGCAGCTGATGTTAAGATACTTGACATCACTTATTGATTACAATTATTTATGTCGTTGTTAATCGTTTAAACCATTTGTGATTTCTGTAAGATTCAAAAAAATAGATAATGGACAAAACTGTGACTAGACCAGCGATCATGAAAATCGTGTTCTATGTGATCGAGTGACTTGAGCGGACTCGCTYTGACGAAACGTCCGTAATTTTTGTTTTATCATAATTTATATATCATGAAATTATAATAGTTTTTTGAGCAATTAATAACGAAAAATGAAGTCGCTAGTTCAATATAGGTATGCAAAGAAATATTTATCCACCATACCCCTAGAAATTTCATCAAATATTGGCCTATGCCTTCAACCACGGCCATGAAACGCCATATAGTAGTCGTGCAATAGGCGAGAAAAATACGTCGAACAACAATAGCCGGTGTTATAGCGACAAAAGTTATTATTAATAATTAATAACCAAACATGTTGTTCGCGTCAACAATGACACCATATCCCGCTTCCCGTAGGTACCTAATACATAATAAATAATGTATAGATGTATTTAAAAAAACCGTCGGCTGGATGTCGAACATCCGGATTTGTATTGTTATCTCTTCTGACAATATATTATGGGAACGCGGTGGGGTTGGTTGTCGCCTGTCGGTGTGCATTATTATTTTTTCCCAGATTGAAAAGTACCTATAATATCTGTTACCCACATATACAGTGCGAATAAAGTCAAAAATGTCCATCATGACATTTCAGTTCACTCTTACACGGGGTTTTATTGTTACGATAGAATGTGTGTATGTGTGTGTTCGTTTGTTTTTCATTCTTTATTTTTTGCCGTTTCCGTAGGACCGTGCTGACTGTGATAGATTTTAGACAACGGATATGCATGTGCACGCGTCTGGGATAAAAGTATATAACTTACTATACATATTATGGCTACGTCAACAGATATTTCAACCGACAAACGGTGGTGATATGATATCGGATTTGAATCGTCCTCGCGGAAGTGGTTAGGAGAAGGGATATCATCCGGTTGCGACGACGACGACGTGAAAAAGCTGGAAGGAAAAAAGGGTTATAGCGGTCGATGGCGTAAGAAAAAAATCAAAACAAAGTGTA